CCCCCTGCCCCGGGTCGGGAGGTGCCCCCCGCATCCAGGCTGGGCCCCGGCAGCGGCCGCGCAGCCGGCGCTGTTTCTATTTCGAGAGGAGCTCTACTGGAAAAGGAACAAAAGCCGAGGGAAGCTATAAATAGCCGCCTCCTTCACACCAGCGCCTCCTTCGCCCCAGCATCCCGCGGCCGGGGGGGGTCCCGGAGCACTGCCCGTGCTCGGCCCCACCACCAAACCCCCTCCGTGCCTTCGAGCCAACACCCCCATCTGAAAATCAGAGGGAATAACACTCTGGGGAATATCTGCCGCCGAAGCAGAACTGGCTCTGAACAGCGGTTTGCCAAGTTGCCCGGTGGCTCTGCCCAGCCGCAGCCCAGTTCCCGGGAGATTTGCCGCTGCCCAGCCAGGCTCTGCACCCACGAACACCTCTCGGGGATGGATTCAGCCACCTGGGGATGCTCCTCTCGTCCCCGGCCCTGTCTGCGGCTGGCAGGGAACAGGAAGAGCCGAGTGGCTCGGGCAGACCTACTTTCAAGGCTTTAATCCTTTTTGCTTAAAGAATCTTTTTTTTCCCTCTCCTCTCTCTTTCTTTTTTTCCCTTTCTTTTCCTTTCCGTGCGGCAAAGATGGGGTCTGATCAGAGGAGAGACGCAGGGAGCTGACAAGCTGCGGCGTACGGAGAGAAAGGAGAAAGAAATACATATTTATTACCCTCAATTATTAAAAAATAGATAGCAGCAGATCTTAGGCCCTGGCAGAGGCACTGCAGAGTCGTTTGTCTGAGGACTATTTTGTTTTTTAAATTCCATTGAAATTATAATACTCTGGGCTTGTTAGCACAAACACCCCAGCATATCCCTGCCGAGGGGGGATCATCCCGACCCCTCTCCCAGCTCTGCTCTGCTCCCCGCAGGGTGGCTGTATCCAGCACCTGATGGGATGCCGAATTTGCAGGCAGCAAGGAGGGAGGGCAGCTCGGGAATGCAAGAGCTGGCGGCAGATGCAGCCGGCAGCCTTTGTCCCCGTCTTCCTTCATCCTGGGGGGATCAGAGGGGCTCTGCCCCATGCAAGCACATCCCCATGCCCAAGTGCACACGGATGCCTGGCTGGGTGAAGATCTCATGGACACGATCTCACCCAGGCCACCAAGGGCCAAAAAGTCCCATGACATCCTCCATGCCCAAGGATGGGCTTTGCACCCTTTGCGTGGCACCGATGGGGGGTCCCGTGGTCACGCGGACGGGGTTTCCCCAAGCAAACCAATGCAAACGTTGGTGCAAACGCAGCTGGAAAAAATAGAAAGCGGTTCCCAAGTGCGGCACACGGGGCTGGCGGAGCCGCTGGCACCTCCCCTCCGCTTGCAGGGCTGCTCCGTGAGGAGCCCTGCCAGAGCAGCAGCAGCCAAATTCCCTCCCGCCGCTGCTCCCCGGTAAACAACGGCTGCAGCCTCCCCCTGTGATGGTGATGCTGGGACATGGGGAGCATGTGGAGCATCTCTGACACCCTCTAGCTCTTGCACCACACTCTCCCCACAGCCAGGATCTGTTAGGATGCAATGGACCACCACGGACCCACAGCCTACTGTGCCACCACCTCTCCAAGGCCAAAACCCACTGCCACCCCGTCCTGCTGGCCACGAGCTCGGGAGAGACCCAGCCCTGAGTGGAACCAGGTTTTGGCACCGGGAGTCACTGAAGCGGTCACAGCTCTACCAGCCCAGGCAGGAGCACCACTAAAAGCTGCTCACCAAGGCTGGGCTGGCACCAAGCTGCCGTGCCGGCTCCGAGCCGCTGTGCCAACGCCGCCGGGAAGCAAGCAGCCAGTGGGCACATGTGCTGCTAAAGAGGAAAAGGAGCTTTCTACACCAAATGGAGCATTTTCTGCTTAATAACCCCCAATCCTAATCTGCACAAAGAAGATTGCCCCCTGCATCTCCCCGTCCTGCATCTGCTGCTTGCTGCTGCCCGCTCTTAACGCCCGGGCACAGTCACGGCTGCCCCACCAGCACGTGCCCTCAGCAGAACAGACAGGAGAAAGACTGGCCACTGGCACTTCCCAAACACTGAGCTGGGCACAGGCATCTCCTCTGTCAGCATCGAGCCTCCATCATTTGTCATCAGTAAAAATAATATTCCTAAAAGTGTCCCCCCTGATTGCCGGGCGGCAGGCGCAGGGCCGTGGGTTTCCATGGTGATGCTGTTCCGCAGGGATGGTACGGGGGATCGGTGGGATTGGTGCTTCCTCAGTTTGGGAGATGGGACATGGCACTGACATCCAGAGTGAGGACAGCACCAGCCCTGCTGCTGGTGGAGGGACCCGAGGCTGAGCCAGATAATCCCACCTTGAGCTGGGGCAGCATCACCCAAAATAGCAGGGAAAGAGCATTGCCATCGGAGAGGACAAGGATGCTCCTGCATCCCAGTGGTGCTCCTGGGGCCATGCCCTGCATGCCTGCCTGTGCCAGCACATGGACCCCTGGCTCCTCCTCGCTGACTCCCACCACATCCTGCTTGCTCCCAACCCCACGGCTCTCTGCAGTTGCCTCCACTGTTAAATCAGACTCCAGCCTCTTTCAGTGGGTTCTAAATTAGGGCAACACCTCGCTCATCCCAACCTGCTGGGAACCCAAACAACAGCCATCGTTGCTGGGGTACGGGTGCCTCTGCTGCTGCCACTTCACCAAAGCGCTTTGAAAACATAATCTGCTGTTAATAACCCGACTTTATACTGAATGTGGCTAAGCCCTGGAATTGCACTTTGCAAACAAAAGCCCAAGTTTTTGGCTGTTTGGAGGAGGCTGGAGCAGCTCCCTGGGGTGAGGATGGGGAGCAGTGTCACCCAGGGGTGTCCCAGTGTGCGGCAGAGTGGGACGGGCAGCTGCCCCCAGTGATGTGGGGCTGAAGTGGCCGTGTCCCGGGTCATTCCTCTGCAAGGGGGATTTGCTTCCGTGCTGCCACAGGGGCACTGCCGGGAGCTGGGGACATCCCGGTGAGAGATGGTCCTGGTCACACCTGGCCACCACCGTGTCCCTCCAGGCTCCCACACTTTTCTGCCTGGTTTTTGCCTTCAAACGGGATTTTGGCTCTTGCTGTCAAAACCCATCAGTGCTCCAGCGGTTTCCAGCAGTCTAAGTCCCTGCCCTGGCCCCAAGGCAACAACATCCCACTCACGGTCTCATCCTGCAAACCACAGAGACCCACTGCCCGCGGTGCTGGCTCGTGCCGCCGGCTCCAGCACCATCAGGTGCTTCAGGGAGAGGTGGGTGTGAAATCACGCCAGAGAATGCATATTTTTACGTTTCCCCGGCAGGTTCACTGATGTTTTTAGGGCAGTGCTTCGAGGCCACCTGGAGTGTCACCCACAGCCTCCAGCACCCGGATGGCTCTGCGGGGTGCCGGGTGCGGCATTTTAGGCTAAAGGTGGGAATAACATTCAGCCAAGCGTGGCCATGGCTCTGACCCTGCCAGGCTCCATCAGTGCGGGTCACCAAGCGGCGACGGCTCCTTTGCATCCCGGCTCCAGCTCCAGGTCTAAGCAGGTCTCATCTGCCAAGCCCTCCTCCTTCCCCCCCAGCACCGCCACAGGGACAGCCTGGGCCACATCCTGACCTCCCCCCCACTACCCTCCTTACTTCACCAGGCACAGAGAGCTTGTGGCTTCCTCTCAGCTCTTTAGGAAATTAAACTTTTATAAGCAGAAAGGTTTCTCGGCTCTTGGCTCCCCAGCACAGGAACCGCAGCCCAGCCTGAGCCTGCACCCTGCCCACTGGCTGCTCCCCTGGCAGGGAGGGATGGAGGCTGGATGCCCCATCGATGGGTTGAGTGATGGCAGGGACAGGTACGTGGCTGCCCATGACCTTGGTGTCATCCTTGACCTGGAAATCTCCTTCTCCTGCATCGCCAGTGTTGCACTCCTGCCTGCAGCCACCTCTGGCAGGGCTCTGACACCCTCGCCCAGGCTGGAGCTGCACCTCACGCTGTCACCCACTGCCACACCATCGATGACATCCCAGCGCACAAAATCCACCCTGACTCCCACCAGTGTCTCCACGGATGAAGCTCACGGGGCGCAGGAGGCCCAAAATGCCCCCAGGAATCGCAGCACTTCCCTGGCCACGCCGCCACCATCCTGCCACAAACGCCTTCACCCGTGTGGCACCGCGTGCGAACCTTTTCCCCCGCGAGCAGGCACAAGGAGCTGCTTCCCTCGGAGCTGTCAACCATGGCTCGGATCCTGCTGCCCCAAGCCCTGCCACGTCCTCCAGCCTCAACCCCAGTCCCCGGCAGTGGGATGTGGAAGGTGGTGGCAGTGCCACCATCAGCCTGCGCTGCCTCCCACCAGCACAGCCTTGCATTGCCACCACCCTTGACAAAACCAGCCGCCCTCGAACCCCACAGAGAGGTTTGGCCCCAGCCCAGCACCGTGGCAGCAGCTCTCCCCATCCTCCCTCATCTCACATGTGGGGTGTCCCTCTGCATCCCACTTGGGGTGAATGCTGGGGGCCAGGACCCCCTTCCCAGGGACACCTGGCCACGGTGAGGTGGAAAGGGGAGAGCCTCTCGGCGGGATGGAGGCCTCTTCTAACTGCCTGTTGAATTATTCAGGAATGGTATTAACTTATAAATGAGTGTGTTTGACTGATTTTGTGGTTGATGTACAGATAAATTCTAATGAAAGACAGCTACAAGATTTTAAATTATTAATTAGACTGCCACTTAACAAAGCCTATTTGGCACTCTATTTCCTTGCTTAACAAGACAAAAACTTTAAGAATAGGTTTTGCTTTAGCCCACAGGCTGTTCAATTTGCATTTTGTTTTTCTAGCTCCACAAATGAAAGCTGTAGATCTTGACCTTAACAGGCTACCCCTGGTGGGATCCAACCCTGCCGGCAGCCTCTCTGCCTGCCTCCACCTCAGGCTCCCAGTCTCCCAGCCTGGATGATGCTTTTCCTCCAGCCAGCAGCACCAGGGCTAGGAATCAAGGCTGGGAACTGTGACTGCTCCGAGGGCTCTGGTTTGTTCTCAAGTCATCCAGCCTGGTTGGGTTAATACAGCGAACAAAGCTGATGCAGGAGCCGGAGAAAGGAGCATCCGAGCGCGAGGCCCCACAACCACAAGGTGACATTCCTCCAGTGGGAAAAAGCATCCCTGGGGTGATAGTGGGGGGTCTGCCCTGCCCGGGACTCCACACCCCGATGTGGGGGGATGCGGGCACAGTGTTGGCTCCTTCTCCCGCTGCTGGAGCCTCGCTGGAGAGGCATGTGGTGGTGATGGCAAGGGCTGGGCCTGGGGCTGTGCAGCTGCCCCCTCCCCAGGGCACGGGATGGGACTAGGGGGTCCAGCTGGGATTCCCCCGCATGGCACTGTTATCCCCAACATCTCCCCGGGACTGGCCCCGGGTGCAGCGGGGCCGGGGGTCCTGCCCTCCCCCACCGCCCCCCGCCCCGTGCCCCCCGGGAGGGCCGGCTGCTCCCCTTGCCGTGATGTCACAAAGCTCCCCGATGATGTCCCAGGCGGTTGCCATGGAAATCGCGTGATGTCACAGCGGAGCGATTCTCCTCGGGGGGGCGGAACGGGACGGCTCGCCCCAACTTCCCCGCCGAACCTCCCGCGCCCCCCGGGCGAGCCCCGTTTCCCGTTCTCTCGCTCTGAGGGACGAGCACCGGCTCCGCCGCGTCCGCCGCAGCCCCGCTGCCTCCGGGACCCGTCGTACCCCGGTGCCCGCGGGACCCGCCGCGCCCCCGGTCCTGCGGGACCCGGCGCCTGCCGTGCCTCCCCCCGCTCCTCCCGGTCTCCCGCCTTCCCGGCGCGCGGCGCTCCCGCCGGTGCCGCTCCCCGGGGGGTGCCCGAGCCTCGGCGGCGGCGCCGGTAAACGCGGTGGCGGCGGGGGGCGCCCGGCGGCGCGGCCCCAACTTCGGCGGGGAGAAGACAAACTTCGGGGCCGGCCCCGCTGCCCCCGGCGCCCGCGGCGCCCGGTGCCCTCCCGGTGCGGCGCTCACCTTGGCGGAGCATCTTGGAGCCGGGGCGGGCGCGGTCTCCCGGCGGCGGCAGCGCTCAGAGCCTCGGGCGCGGCGGCGGCGAGCGGTATCGGCGGCGGCGGCTGCTGCTGTACCGGGAACGCGGAGCCGAAGCCCAGGCGAGCGGCCCCCGCGGGGGCATGGCGGGCCGAGCCGCAGCGGCACCGGGGAGCGCCGGCCCCGGAGCACCGGGGAGCGCCGGCCGCGCCTCTGCCCGCCGCGCGTCCCGCCGCCGGCTTTTAGGGGGGAGCCGCCCCCTCGGGGCTGGGGCCGCCGCCGCCCCCCACCCCCTCGGGCAGAGCCTATAAAGAGGCGCCCGGTGCCGGTGCCGCGCTGCCTGCAGCGGCGGGCAGGGCTGGGCAGGGCGGGGCGGGGCAGAGAAGCGACGGGGCGGGCAGGGCTGGGCCGGGCTGGGCTGGGCTGGGCTGGGCGAGCCCCCCCCGGGGCCCCCCCTTCCGCCGCCGCCGCCTCTCCCGCCTCCCGTGGACAGTTCGTGAAAGTGCCGCTGCTCCCGTTCCCCGCGCCGCCGCCCACCCTCCGCCCCACCGCTGTGTATGGCCCGGCGCCGCCCTCCTGGGGATCTGCGGTCCCGCCGGGGACCGGTTGTCACCCCCGCCCTATCGTTATCCCTTCTGCCGTTGTCGTCGACACGGAGTCCCGCTATCGTACCGGGGCTCTGCCGCGCCGCCCCGCGCCTGCCGTGGTCACGGCTGTCCCCGCTGTCCCGCCTGCCCAGCACCCTCCCTGCCGCTCCCCGGGGACCCGCCGTCCCCTACGGCCCTTATCGTCCCCTCTGCCCCGCGTGTCCCGGTGTCCTGCCGAGGTCCCGCCGCCCGATCCGGGTCTTTGCTGTCCCCGCTGTCCCCTCCGCCCCGCCACGGTCCCTGCCGCCCCTCCGGACTCCCTGCCGCTCCCTACCATGCCCTCCGCTCCTTATCGTCCTCTCCGCCCCACTGGATCCCTGCTGTCCCACGGGGGCACGGATACCCCACCGGGAGCTCTGCTGTCCCCTCCGCACCCCGGTCCCTGCTGTCCCCTTTGTCTCCCGGTTCCTGCTGTCCCCGCACTCCCCGCCGCGGTCCCGACACCCCACTGGGACCCCGCTGCCACCGGACTGTCCCTCCCGCCTCTCGAGGGTCCCTCGGCCCTCCTCTCTTTGGCACCAGCGGGGGTCCCGTTATCCCACTGGGAGCGCAGCTGTCCCCACTGACCCACCGGGATGCCCGCTTTCCTCGGGGGATCGCCTCTGCCTCCTCGGTCTTCTATCATCCCCCAGAGGTCCCGCTACCCCGGACTATTCCTCCTGAGGGCGAGGGTCCGTCTCGCCTCCTCCCTTCTGCCCCCCCGAGGGTCCCGTTATCCCACCGGGATCGCTGCTGCCCCTACTGTCCCATCGAAGGTCCCGTTATCCCACCGGGAGCACTGCTGTCCCCATTGCCCCCTCGAGGGTCCCGTTATCCCACCGGGAGCGCTGCTGCCCCTACTGCCCCACCGAGGGTCCCGTTATCCCTCTGGGAGCGCTGCTGCCCTTACTGCACCCCCGCGGAGATCCCCGCTACCCTCGGGTCCCTCCTACCCCACCCCTCGCAAGGACCTGGCTTCTGCCCCACGACACGGGTAGCGGGGGGACACACGGACCCGTCAGCATGACGGCGTTCCCGGTGCCCTGTGTTAATGTTAGGACCGGCAGCCCCCGGGCCGTCACCACCGGGAGAGACGCGACAAAGCCGCCTCCCCGACGTGAAGTGGGGGACAACCCCGCCATCACAACCTTTGCAACACCGCACCGCACGCCCAGCGTCATGCCGGGACCACACCGGGACCTTCATCCGCCACCGCCCCGGTCCCCGCCGCGCCGCCCGTCCCCGTCCCGTCGGGGCCCGGCGGGTGCGCTCTCCCGCGCTCGATGTCTCGGCCGGCGGCTGCTCTGGCCTCGCGCGGGGCTCGCTTGGTGCTGCCTGGCCGCCCCCACGTGCGGCACTGCAATGGCGGCCCCCGTGAGGGCCGGGAGCGCGGCCCCGGTGCCCGCCAGAGGTGCGCTAGGACCGGGGCAACACGGGGCTCCCGGGGCCGCTACCGGGTGCTCTGTTCGTTGCCTCAACGCTGAAGGCCGGGCCGACGGCGGGGGAGGCCCGGGACGGTGGCTCCGCCACCGTCCCGGGCCTCCCCCGCCGCCGTCCCGGCCCAGCTGGCCCTCTGTCGATTGTCCCGTGGGCCGTGCGGGGAAGGGTTTTTGGTGGCTCATGAGTGCCGGTGTTGGGCTGGAAATAGTGAATAATCCCCCTGCTGTCACTCCCCCGCCGCTCTCTGGCATCGCCGAGATGTGGGGGGGCGGGTGCTGGGAGGGGGGCGGCTTCAGGATGAGGCTCCCCGGGGATGGATCACCCGCCGCTGGTGGCTTTTTTTCCCGGGGGGATAGCGGGATCCCCTTGCTGGGGAAGGAGGGGTGCGTTAGGGTGTCTCCGGGGTGCTGGCGGATGAGGCACGAGGGGTTATGCGTGGCGTGCACTCAGAGGGTTTCATATGGTTACGGTGTTGCTTTCTGGGCTAAAACCCCCTCTTTTCCTCCCAAAAAGTAGCAGCAATCTGCTCGCAGCGTGAAGGGTAGGACCCCACCACCTTCCCCTGTTTGTTCCACAGGGTCTGAGTACAAAGCCCCTTCTCCTGCTTGTCCCGAGGTGTTTGAGCACAGAGACTCCTCCTGCTCATCCCAGGGATTGGCATGAGGGCAGCGAGGACGCTGGTGGCCCGTGAGCTGTGGGGTGCTCTGCTCTCCTGGCCCCTCCTTTAGCTCCCCCCCCCCCCCGTTTGTCCCACAGCCCGAGCCCCCGTGAGACACGTGGCACAGCAGATCCCCGAGGAGATCCTTGGAAACTCGGAGCTGCAGGAGGCAGCAAAGGCCCTGCCCCCAAACTACAACTTCGAGATCCCCAAGACCATCTGGCGGATCCGGCAGGCTCGGGCCAGGAAGGGTGAGCACTGACCCCGGGGGATGAGAGGTTTTGGGGATGATTGGTGCCACTGGGACCCCCCCTGGGGCGGATGAGGCCGGGGCAGAGGATGTTCTGAGCTGTCTGGAGTGCCCTGGCATGTTTAGGCTCTCTCTTGGCAAGCTCCCCTCCCCTCGAGGGGGGTTAATAGATCTGTATCTCTGGATTAAAATCACATTGGACAGGACAGGTTGAGCTGTTCGGACCTGTCAGCCTGGAGATGTGTCTGGGATGCTGGCCAGGTCCCTGCTGTGCTCCTCTCTCCTCTCGCCTCTCTCCCAGTGCTTTCCTGACATGCTACTGGGGCTGGGAAGGGGGAGCCCTGCAAGGGTGGGCACTCGTGGAACTGGTGAGAAGCTCTGGTCTGAACCTTCCTTGGGGTCCTCAGGGGGTTGTGTAGCCCCAGAGAGGTGGGGAGTGGCACTGATGGCCTCAGGGGTGATGCCAAGGCTTTCCCTCGTGGCCTGTGCATCCCACTAAAGCAGTGTGTGACCAGCTATAGGCATCAGGCAGGGAGCCTCTCCCTCCACCCCTGGATGTCACCAGCATCCCCACCCTCCCTTCAAATGCTCGTGGGGTTGTGTAGCTCCAGGGGCTCCGGGCATAGCCAGGTTGAAATGCTGTATCCACCTGGGAATGTCTCTGCCTGCTGGCACTGAGCTGGCAGGGCTGGCAGGCGTCACGGAGGATGTTCTGGGAGCTGAGCTTGTCGCGGCTGTGATGCCGGAGGGGGGGCTGCCCGGCCCATCCCAGCTGTGGTGCGGGAGGCAGGGCTGGATTTGTCCCACCAGGACACGGCGAGGCAACCCAGCCATGCCGCTCTGGCTTTCCTCTGCTGTGTTTTGCTGCTTGGCACCTCCTAATTAAATGTAAATATGCGGCTGGGATTTAGGCTTCCGAGCTGGGAGCGGAGCCCATCAGCCAGCCAGCCGTGCTGGGATTTAAAAATCCGCCTGTGCAGAGCCCAGCCAGGGGCTCGTTGCTGGGGGAACGCAGCCTCCCACTGGGCTGAGCCAGCCCTGCCTGTGCCCTGCCTGCAGCGGGGTTTGAGGGGGGCTGGGGTGGCACCCCCTGTCCCCATCGTGCTGTGCCGGTGCAGAGTGACCCAGCCACCTCCTGCCAACCCCTCGTGGGGGAAGGCAAAGCTATTTGTAGGTCTGAGGTGGAGGGCAGTCCCAAATGAGCCATAATGTTCCAAAATGAGCCAAAATGGTCCCTGATGGGCTGGGGGATTCTGGGACCCTGAGCTCTTGGCCCTGCCAGGTCAGGCAGGGGCTGGCAGAGCACGTGCAGCTTTTCTTGGGCCCTGTTGGTTGGAACAGGGTGGGATTAGCCCAGTTTGAGCCAGGTCTTTACACAGCTCCACACTGGCCAGCAGGTCGGACCTGGCAGCATGGGGATTTTGTTGGAGGGGCATCTGGAGAGAATGTTTGGATAGATATCACTGAAGCTGGGATATCTGAGTGGGATGGGAGGTGAAACAACAATGGTATTAATGGGGCCTCCTCCATTCGTCTCCCCCAGCATGGTCCCTCCTCCTCCCCAACACCCCGTGGAGGGCTCCTGACTGGACCCCAGGCACTGGGAGGCCCAGCTGGTCTTTGGAAGGGATTGTTCTGAGCTGTGAGAAGGGAGCAAACCAGGAACATCATTCGTTGTTGGATAAATTCCTGCTAAGCACAATGCTGCATCGTCGCTGGCCACCCTCCTAAAATGGGGAGAGGAGCAGGAAGGGGAGGTGTGGAGAAGGGCAGCAAGGATGATCAAAGGTTTGGAACAGCTTCTGTATAAGGAGAGATTAAATAGATTTAGATCCTTTAGCTGGAAAAAGAGGTGAACGAATGGGGATATGATAGGGATGTAGAATTGTGAATGATGTGGAGAGGCTGAACAGGGGATGATTATTCACTCATTCTTGTACCGGGAGAACCAGGGGCACACGTTTACATTATTAGGAGCAGGTTTAAAATAAACAGAAGAAAGTACCTTTTCCTGTGCAGCACATAATTAAAATCTGGAACTCATTACTGCGGGAAGCGGGAGAGACCAGCAGTGTCAGCGGGTTCAGAGAGGGATGAGGTGTGTACACAGGGGCCGTGAGCAGGGAGAGTGGATATGGCCTAAAGCAGGACAATGTGCACCCCGGCTGTCCAAGCCACCAGAACTTCTGGCCAATTTCTGACTGTTTTGGGGAGGTTGGTTCTGTGGCTGCTGCTCGAGCTGAGTGTGTTCACCCTGGAGCTGGTGCCCAGGCCCCCACTTCAGGATATCCCTTCCAGCCTCTCTTAACTCCAGGGCTGTTTCTCTTCCCAGTGGCCCTGCAGATGCCGGAAGGGCTCCTCATGTTCGCCTGCACCATCGCGGACATCATTGAGCGGTAAGACCATGGCTTTTCCATGCTTCCCTGCTGGACTCTGGGGGCTGGCGAGGGGGTGGGAGCTGTTGCTGGGAGTGGGGTGACCGCCGGGCAGGATGAGGCCCAGGGCTATGGACAAGGGAGTGTGGAGGGCCCCAGTGTGGCTGCACTCACGGGGCCGTACCCTGACTGGGCAGTGCTGCTGCCCTGTGGCAGGTCACAGGGACCTGCTGCCAGCCCTGGGGACAGGGACCGGCACGGCGCCAGCCCAGCCCTCGCCACTCGGCTTCTTCTCCCCTCGCTGCTGTGCTGGGAGCTGCTGACAGGCTCGGCATGTCGGGGCCCCGTGGGGGTGCTGGAGCCGGGGAGCAGCCGTGTCAACAACCGGCTGACGCCAGCCCGGTGCCCGCGCTCGCCACGGCAGCACTGCCACAGCCGGGGGAGGGCTGGCAGCGGGGCCACTGCTGCAGCACTGATCTGTCCTCCTCGTCCTGTCTCTGCAGTCATGCTGCCTGGCATGGAGAAGCTCAGGGGCAGCCTTTTTTCGGCTGGGGAGGCTTCTTGAGGCTATGGTGATGGCACAGGAGGGGTCACTGCAAGCGACTCCTGCTGGGCAACACCTTCCCCACGGCTCCTCTCTGGTTTTTTCGGTGTTGCTTGGGGCCAAGGTTGAGGCACCAGAGAGGAGCTGGGCTGTGCAGTGACAGTGGATGCAGGCACCTTGCAGAAATTGGCCGTGATCTCTTTATCACCCGAGTGTCTCTCCCTTCCTCCCTGCCCACCCCCGGCCCCCTGTTCAGCCCCTCTCTGCTTTAGCACAGTGAATTAGTGCTAATAGCACCGTGTGCCTCGTCCGCCATGGGGGTCGTGGCACTCATTAGCAGCTGCCTTCCCGGGGCCAGCAGGCTCAGCCTCCCTGCCGCCAGGAGCCGAGCAGCCGCTGCCGTGCCGGGTGGGAAGGCGGCCGTGCACGCGGGTTTTGCCCCCGCTTTGCCATCGTTTCCCCCGCGGGAACGCAGCAGCCCCAGCTCGGTGGGAAGGTGGGCGTGGGCAGGGGACGGGTGTGGGGGGCAGGGGATGGGTGTGAGTGTGGGCAGCTCCGCGTGGGTTTGTCCCTTTAAGTGGAGCTGCCTCCTCTCCGGCTTTGGCACCGAGCCGCTTTCATGTCTCCAACTTCAAAGGCAGAGGATTAAGGGGCTCTTTTATCTGAATGAAACCTTAAGCCTCACTTCCCGGTGGATGGTGAATTCCAGGGTGCTGAATGCCAGGGTGCCGGTGGATTGTGGGGTGCTGGCATCCCTGCTGGTCCCACCCTCCCTGCCAGGGGTGCTCCACAGGGCTGAGGAGGGGTGCTGGGTGCCAGGGTGAGGGGTGCTGGTGGGAGATGGATGCTGTGTGGGTGGGGGTGCCCAGCCAAGGGAAGGGATGTGGCAGCACTGATGGAATGGTGGTTGGATGGGGGATGGCCTCAAGGCTGTGTAGGGGGGCTGTATCCTTCCCTCTCTGCCACCATGCAGCACCCAGAGACACCCCCATTGCCGGTCCCTTGCTGGGAGCACTGGGCGCCATCCATGATTCTGGCTGGGGATGTGGCCATGCTGGGTACCAGCACTGCCAGCTGGAGGATTGTGGCCGTGGGCAGGAGTGAGCCCAGCCCTGTCCCTGCTCTCTTGGGGACACATTTGGGACCCAGTTCCACTGCCGGAGGTGAGTCGGCAGGTGGCCTCGTTAGTGCCTGCCTCTTCCTGCTATTAATATTCATCGCCAGCATTAATGTGGAATTGCAGCTCGGCCGCCGCTCCTGCTGGCCCTCCTCACCCGGCACTGGGGCCGGACGAGCCTCCGACGTGACGGGAATCGCTGCAGCCGTGTGCTCTGCTGGTGGCTGCCGTGGCCAGCCTGGGCACGTGGGCTTGGGGTACCATCAGCCCTGGGCTGGCATGTCCACTTCCCTCTGGTGACAGACAGAATGCGAGGGCTGAGCGTGCTGGGGATACCTGTGCCCCCACTGGGGGCATTGCTCAGTGAGCAGCTCTTCTCTCCAGCCCATCCCCGCAGCCTCCTGCCCCATCCTTGCTAGTGGGAATTGGGGTTTGGGGATGCCAACGAGCTCCCCCTCCCTCTTCACGCTCTGCTGATGGCTGCAGAGCCATGCCCGGGGCTGGTGCCCCTGGGGTGACAATGCCCAACCTCTTGTGTTCCAGCTCAGCCAGAGCCGTGTCAGCTGCCGCTCAGACGGAATATTTATCCCTTCTACCAGAGCTGCCTTTTAATACAATATTTGTGCTGTGGCCCGGCAATGCTGGGAAGAGCCGAGAGCAGGGACATGGCTCACAGTGCTGCAGCATGGATGGCTCAGGGAGGACACAGTCCTCCCTCTGTCCCCATGCAGGAGGATGGCAGTGTCACTGCATCCCTCACTGCAATGTGGGAGCGAGCAGGCCCCTATGGAGCCCTGGTGGGGCAAGGAGAGGAGAGGGCTGCCAGGTGGGGCCTGGCTGGGCTTCCCAGCATTGCACTGGCGCTTGCTGAGCCCCGAGGGGCTGCAGGGATGAAGATGTAGCCGAAGTGTCACAGCCGCTGCCACCGGGAAGGCCGGTGGGGTTCTTAGCCTGGAGCTGTTGAAATCGAGAGTGCACTTGGAGCACTGACCGGTGTGAGGCCCAGTTAATTAGTGTTAATAGGTTTGTCATTGTCAAAGCTGTGCCGGGGCGAGCGGCCAGCTGGGGGGGGGCGGCAGGGCTGGGGTCTGCCGCGCTGCCGGCACCGCATCACGACGCTCTCACGGCACCTTCCAAATTGGCTCCATTTGTCACGGCTGATGTAATTTGGCAGAGGGTAACTCGTGCTGGGGGGTGGCAGCATGGAGAGCCGCGTGGGGGGATCTCGGACCGCGGCTCAGGGAGGGGACAGCCCCCAGCCCACCCGCTGTCGTGCCGGGGAGGCGGCAGCCGTGCCCCCCGCACCACCGGCTTGTAGCAGGGGGGTTGTGTAGCCGGGAGCGGACGCCTGCTCCCCTCCCTGCTGGGGCTGGAGCAGACGGATCAGCTGGGCTCTCAGCTGGGCTTTTGATTCTGTGTTAATAAAGTCGGCTGTCAGGCTTTGCAGCTGCTAATCCCTCTGTCTGTGTGCCACGATGGTGAGAGTGGTTCCTGCTAATCAGCCATGGCTTGGTGGCAGGGAAGGGTGATGGGAAGATGGGCCGGGGGTGTCCTGGTGCCTGCACAGGCTGCTCTGCCACAGCCTTAAAACCTCCCAAATCCTGATGGCTTTTGAGCATCCGTGTGAGGCGGTGCTGGAGGGGTGCAGACCATCCTGGTGACTGTGCCATGGTGTGCCCAGGAGTGCATGGGGACTTTTCAAAGTGACAGGGGGTCTTGAATCATCTCTGGTTGGGCAGTAAAGAGTTAAACATCTGTGCACATGGCCCAGCAGCTGTGGCAGAACTTGAAATGCCCCACTATGGCCAGGCCAAAAAAGTCCCTGATAGCTGCTGTGCCTGGCAGTCCCTGGTGCCATGGCTGATGTGCCCAGCAGGTTCCAGTGCCATGCAGTCACTGAGCCCCCTGGCCAGGCAGGTCTGCCATGTGGCATTGAGTGCTGTGGCAAAGCTGGCAGCATCACTACGAGGTCCCAAAGTGCCATCCTGGGACACCGAGAGGTCAGGATCCGGCCTCAGCTGCACAGTGCTGCAGCTCTGCTGGCCAGTGCTGCCTTCCCTTCTCCCCTTGTCCTTTAAGCACAACCTGGAGACACTGGCAAAGTGGTGCACGCTGTGCAGGGGAATTTAATCACCATCATTAACCACACAACAACATTCATTAGGAAGAATGAAGTTCGCACTTCATTGGACATGTTTAAAACCTTCTACCCGGGTGGTGACTGCACGAGGGGGACGGGCAGGGGAAAATGTAGGATCTATAGGGCTGGCACCTCCCAGGGCTGGGGTGTGCCAGTGCAGGTGTGGTGCCCACCACTACATGCTTTGTGCCACCTCCTTGTATCCTACAGGGCTCTGTGGCCTGGCCATGGTGAAGAGGGAACAAGCACCATCTGGGTGCAGAACACACCTGGTGGCTTTGCCACCACCATGCATTGGCCCATGCATTTGCGGTTTTTTGCAGTTACAGGGCCAACAAAGCTGAAATACTCTGAGACATGTCCCTTGGGATGGTGGTGTCGGCTCTGGCACCACCAGTGAGGACAGAGAGGGAGGTCCCCTGAGGGGAAGGGACCCAGCCAGAGATGGCTGCTCCTGGGGGGCTGCAGGGACACCCACCTGTCCCCCTCCTGACCCACTTGCAGAGGCTCAGCAGGGCCCTGTGATTGCCCAGCTGCAGCGGGGCTCTTCCAGCACCGATTGCAATAAAATTGCAAACTCATTACTTTAATTACGTGCAGCCTTCCTGTGCTAATGAAGTTGGGAGTGTGGTAATGGGGCTTGGTGATGGGCTTCTCCGCTAATTAAGCGCATTGTTCTCGACTAGGGCTGCACTCAGCCCCCACAGCCCAGGGCAGCAGCATCCACAGTTGTCCTGGGACAGGCTGGGCTGGGGTGCAGGGCAGGCAGTGGGTGTGTGTTTTGTGGGGTGCTCGTGGGTCTGAAGCAAGGAGCGGTCTGCTCCGTGTCCCTGTTCCCAGCAGGACATGCAGGCACTCCGGCATTGCAGTGCTGGTGCCATCCTCCGGTAGCCTCGTGGTGCCACGACCAGTCACTCTCAGCCTGGTCCCCTCAATCCCCTCCCCACCGAGGGCTGGTGGGGTCAGGCATGATGGACAAGCAGGGGCTGAGGACTCTTCCCTGCTGGGGAGAGTGGCTCTGCTTCATGGCTTGAGGACCAGCACTGTATCATTCACACACTGCCAGGGGACCTCGCGCTCCTGCCAGCAGCAAACACTCTCATTCATCTGTCAAGGGGCAGGGATAAATCAGGACTGCTCCGGCCAAGTGCCTGTGCTCAGGTGACAGGGTCTGGCCACCCCATGCTTGGGGATGTGAGGACCTCATGTGTACCTGTCTCTGGCCCAGCATTTTCAGCCCCCAAACTTGTCCCTGGGTCGCTGTCACCTCCATCCTGTGCTGCCCAGGGGAGAGTGAGGCTGGGTGGGTCTGGGGGTCCCAGTGCCTGGGGTTGGGGCCAGGACCTGGCCCGCCCGGGCACACATCCTGCCAGTGCTGAGCATGGTGCTTTATAAATGGGATTTTGGGAGCCATCTGTTTAAAGAAGGAGATAACGAATTAGGGGAAGATGAGAAAAATGCTAAGGCCAGGCGGTTTTTCAGAATGAGCCCGGGTTTGCGGGACGTAAAAGATGAATAACCTCCCCACGTGTTCAATATTCATGAGCTCCCAGCTGTAGTGAGCGTCTCTGCGCTGGGTGGGGACATCCCCGTCACCGCGTCCTCCCTGCCAGCGCGCTGCTGGGACCCATCCGCGGCTGCGATGACTTCCAGGGACACAAAACACCAGCAAGGACGCTCCCATGGCTGCTCCTTGCCCGCATCCTGGTCCCGTCTGGTTGGTGAGCAGCTCCCCAGCCTGTGTCAGAGGCAGGTGGCTGCTAATTGACATTTCCTTCCTCTGTAGTTTGATGAAAGACTCTGGCGACACCAAACTGATTAAAACATCAAGGGGAGGCCCTCACGCCTGCCTTTGATTTGTCTCGGGAGGTGATTATTGCTCCGCTCCACCATCCAGCCCAGCCAGAGCCGGTGATCCCGATGCGTGCTGTGCCATCCGGGTGCCCCTTCTGTGGCACCACCAGGCTCCTGCCACCCTTCCACCCTTGCCGGCTGCAGTGGCAGCACTATTGGGTTCCCTCCTCACCAACCATCATCCTGCAGCATCTTTGCTCAGCTGTGGCTCCTCTCCTGGCAGCCAGAGCAGGAATGTTCCCCATGTCTGGGGCAGGGCTCAGCCCTGGCTCTCCGTGCCTGTGGGCCAGTGGCCACGTACCTCCTGGCTGCAGCCCTGCATGCTGGGCAGGGGCCACGGGCACCTCTGCCCTCCTTCCTCCACCGCTGCTATTTCACTTTCTTTCTCTTCACCCCCAGGGACTTTCTCTGGGGTTTGGGCCAATTTGCATACATTTTAATCTATAAAAAATTAAGCGGCGCTGGCTGCCGCTCTGAGTCAGACCTCCCCGTCCTGAATCTTAAGGAGCTGAATAATTTTCCACTTTTGCTGAGATGTGTGGAGTCTGATTCATGTTCATCTCATCACCTCTCATTAGAGGAGGGGGCTGAGGGCTTGAGAGGGTGGGAAGAGCCTTCTCGAACCTTCACTGGCAGCCCCCAGCCCCACGGCGTGGCCATGCAGGCAGTGGAGGAGCCATCCGCCCATGTGGGCCACACTGGCAGCGAGGGATCGTGGGATTTGGGAGCTTGGCAGGATTGGTCCGTCTTCTGACGCTCCCCAGCTGCATCCCCAACCCTTGGAAAACTGCATGGAATGGGAGATACCCAGGCTGGATGCAGGAGGTGAGGATGGCTTTGCCCCCTCTCCGGGGATGTTCCAGCAGAGCTACTCCCCTGTCCCCGTCCCCGGGTGGTGACAGGTAGGCCAGAGCTGTTAATATTCAGCACGCTCCGCCATTTCTCCACCTTCTGCCATCTGCCCAGCTCTGCCCACCATTTCTATTCTTGCCGCCGACGTAACGCTCCCTGCCTGGCGCTTGGGGGGAGTGCAGGACCCTGGCCCCCAGCCAGCGCTGGGTGCTGCTGGGGGGTGACACTGTGCCAGGGCCCCCTCCTTCCCCGGCCCCCTTCGCCCCAGCCCCGTGCCAGCAGCAGGGGGGACCCCGCTGGCACCGAGCTACAGCTGCTGGTGTGGCCTGGAGTAAATAAGGAATTAGCATCTGGTTTAAGCAGCCCCTCCAGGCACGGGGCTTTGTCATCGAGATACCTGCTCTCCTCCATAAGCTACCACGGCAGCTCCCTGGGATGGCAGCCAAGCTAATAATCCCCCAAAATGGTGCAATAAAATACCCACAAAGGAAGTGCCTTTGAATCATGCCAGAGCCCTGGCTTTGCTGCTCGGTGCTGGTGTGTGCCCCTCTATCCGCTGGCTGGCAGGTGCCAGGTGGACTTGCAACGGAATGCCGGGATCCCTGAGCAGGGATAGGGGACACCACCAGTGTTTGCTTGGTGCTTTTCCTTACCAAGTGCCACTTCAGCACCAGCTGTTCCTGGAGCACACCCAGCTTGGCCAAACTGGCACCCATGGGTGACCCAGCCAGGCGCAGATTAGGGTGCACCGGCTCACGTGGTGCCCAGGCACAGGGTGATGCAGGCTCAGCCAGCTTGGCTGGAGATGCCACCGTGGCTGTTCTGCCCATCCTGGTGGCTCCGGTCCCCAGGGCTGGCTGGTGACAGTGGCAGCACCACATTGTGCCGGGTCTCCCTCTGCTGCTCTCCCTGCTGGAGCATTAGGAAGCTGGCAGCGTATTGTTTGATGAGTGGATAATCCGCTGAATTGCAAACAGCTTTACCCAATTGAAGAGGCGGATTACCGCTCTCCAGCTTAATCATGTTGACATCTCGGAGAGTAGCCAGTGCTTGTCCTCTTTGGCGCGTGGCTCGGTGGCAGCGCGGGATCCCCCAGTGCCACGGGGCTGGGGGGCAGGACCTGGGCTGCGGTGACACAGCCAGCCACGACCCTCACTGCCGTGCCTTCCCGCAGGTTCACGGACGCAGAGGCCGTGGTGATGGGTGATGTGACCTACGGCGCGTGCTGCGTGGACGACTACACGGCCCGGGCCTTGGGCGCTGACTTCTTGGTGCACTATGGACACAGCTGCCTAAGTAGGTGACACTCAGCCCCATGGCACTGCCAGGGTGGCCATGCATGGCACTGCAGAGGCTGTGCTGTGCCACTGTGCCATGATGAGCGGCTGCCCGCCCTGCTCAGCACCAGCTCAGAGACTTAGTGCCAAGGGCTTATCCCTTCCCAGAGGGATTTCTGTTCTCCAGCCTCATCTGCTGGCTTTGCATTGGGCCAGGCTGGCTGAGTGGCTGCCTGTGGGCAGGATTTTGGGCACAGCAGGGTGTGCTCATCCTGCTCGGCCGCTGCAGCCCTGTGCCCAAGAGCAGAGCAGCAAGGCCATGGCTTGGCAGGACCCCACTGGCTCAGGAGCTGCCAATGGGGATGAGGCTGCTCTTGCCCCCCCCCACACCTCCGTGGGCTTTGGGGGAAGTCAGGAGTGATGGCAGAGGGGAGTGAGGGCCTGGGGGTCCCGCTGGCTTTGGGGCTGGGGAAGGGAGCTTTGCTGGTACAGTGCAGGCTGGGCGGGGAAGGGAGGAGGAGGCTGTGTGCTCCCCAGGCGGACAGTACTCTGGATCCAGTTGCCATGGAAACTGCGCTGCTGTCCCAGATGCTGCTAACTTTGAAGTCCACCCAGGATGGAATCAGCCCAAAAATAACAATAAGACGCTCTGGGTTTTAAGGTGGATCTGCAGAATTGCCATAGCGAGCGGCAGGAGCGTGCATTCCTGCTGCTGCCGTGCTCCCGGCAGCTGGCAGCCCTCCTGGATGTTTATGGGGTCGTATAAATGGGTTTGAAGAATTGCATCAGACTCTGTGTGAAATACTGACTCCCCAGTTGAGAACTCTGTCCTAAAAGTCGCGTCGGTGAGAGAGTTCGTGGCGATAAATATCTGTGCTTGGTGCTTTGTTATGGAAGGAGGGTTGTGTGCACCACTGGAACAGGGAGTATAAAACTCCTGGTTTGTATCCTGCTGCTCATGAATGAACAATAGGAAGGGGAGGAAGGGACTGTATCCATTGGGCTGCTCTGGGAAATGGGAGTCACATCTTCTGGAACTGCTCCCTACAGGGACAGGCAGGCACTGCCAGGCTGACTGTCACCAGCCCAGCTGCCATCTGCTTGCTTTCACTGGGCTGGGTGGGTCACAGGGCACCCACAGGGTGCTGGGGGGGTGCTGGACTCCTTCTGGGCTGTTCCCAGTGCTCCTGTCACCGGTGTGGCTGATGGTAGGGCACGCAGACACTTTCCTGCTCCCTCCCGGCCCCACGTGCCCCGCAGGAGGGAGTAATTTGCACTTAATTGTGATCAGGTGAAGAGCACCAAAATGGGAAGTGAATGTGGAGCTGCGGATCGATGTGGACTCTGTGTACTTTAATTATTCACTTAATCGTAGTGACAAAGGCTTCTTAGCACCGGGGGTAATTAGATTTGTGTTCATTGATTCCCCAGGCTGCCATTATCCAGAAAGAAACAAGCGGGTGCTCTCCATGGATCCCATCTACACCCCCTGCCCAGGGTGCCAGCACAGGCAGAGCGGTGGCACAGCCCACCCTGCCCACACCAGGGCAGTTGGGGCGCAGGGAGCCCCACCAACACGCTTTATCCCCCAGGCAGCAACAGCCTAGGGCTCACTGGAGCCCTGGGTGTAGCCCAAACTCACACCCTCTCTCCTCCTGTCACCAGTTCCCATCAACTCCACTCAGGGGCTGAAGATGCTCTATGTGTTTGTGGACATAAAGATCGATGCATCCCATTTCCTTGAGACCATTCGCTTCAACTTCGTGGCAGGTGCCTCCCTGGCCCTCGTCAGCACCATCCAGTTTGTCTCCACGCTGCAGGTGAGATGGAGATCCCTGGCAGTGCATGGCACAGGATGGGGCCTTTGTCTGCCCCTGCCTTGGCCCTTGGCTTAGTCCTTCCCCGTCCCAGCTCCGGGGTGGGAGTGGCTGCCCCGGGGTGCCGGTGGTGCCGGTTCCCCTCTGACGAGTCGCTGCAATAATATGCTGCTACTGTAATGTTGATCAAGTACTTTATAATAACTCTGATCAATGTTTCATGGCGGCACCCCTCCCCAGCTCCCCCAGGAGCTGCTCTGTAAATGTCAGGGCAGGCAGTGGAGCACTTGGCATTTTGATGCAGTGCCGGCAGCGGCCGGGGAAGCTCCGGCGGGTCTGTCTGTCTGCCCCTGAACGGCCGGCTGGGCAGGACGGGAGGAGATGAATGAGCCTCTTGAGCCATGTCTATCTAAACACGGGGCTATCCAAGCGTTAAGCCTTTTCCCTTGTCTTTTAATTGATACGTTTGTTGAGCCTCGCTGAGCGTCCCGGTTGTGCGGGGCTGTTACTGGTGCCACCCCCAGCAGGCTGGCTCCCCTCCTCTGTTCTGTGCTGGGATGCAACAGCTGGGACTGCCAGGGCCAGGGTGTTTCCAAGGGTCTTTTGCCACCCCCTGTGCCGTGGGTCTGTCCCTGCTAACCTCACCTCTCCTGCAGGCAGCGTCACAGGAGCTGTGCTCCCAGTACAAGGTGTGTGTGCCCCAGTGTAAGCCACTGTCCCCAGGAGAGATCCTGGGCTGCACATCGCCCCGGCTCGCCAAGGACACAGATGCCATTGTGTAAGTACCTGGAGTCTTCCAGGACCCTCCTACCTGGCCCAGGCTGCCCAACCTTCTTGTACCCCCTGCCCAGCTTTGGGCAGGGGGGTGGGAGGGGACATCCACAGGCTGGGACAGGCCCCCTCCAGCTCCTCACGCTGCTTTAAGTGGCGTGTGCTTGTAGCACAGAGGAAATAATTGAGTCGTATATCAGAATAGATAATAGATGGAAGGGCGGGTGGATAATTGGAAAAGACAAATGGCCGGGGCCCAACATCACAGCAACATTAATTTTATTTAAGGACAGCAAATTAGAGGGAGCACTTCGCTTCCTATCACCTAATTATTTTAGGTAATGGAAATGCTTAATGTACTGTGAATACAGTGTGCTGCAGAATAAATAAATACAAGGACCCCACCCTTGGAGGGAGCCGGGGAGCCCAGGTGTGGGTTTGGGCCCTGAAGAGCTCCTTCTCACCCACACTGCTGGGAGCCTTTCTGAGCGCCTCTCTGAGCACGGCTGTGCAGGGAAACAAGCTTGTGATTGCTGGACAATCACAGTGGGAGCTCTGGCTTCACCTTGAGCCACACCAGCTCTCCTTTCCATCTCTCCAAGGGCATCAGGAGCAGGAAGGGGTGGCCAGGCTGGCATTGCGTTGGCGAGAGCGTGTCCTTCCCACTGCCAGAGGAGCGGCGGTGCGGTACCAGCCGGCCGCCTTACCTGCGTCCTCCCTGCGTTATTATTTTCTTCTGTGCACCGTCTCTGGGGCTAACTTTTGCAGACAAATTAGCTTTGATCTCCCAAAATGTCATTCTCCAATTAAGGGCAAAATCTAGTCAAGTTTTACGTCTGAATTCATTTTCCAAGCCCTCACTCCATTAGGGCAGCTGAATGAAAGGCTTTGAAATGTAATTGCTGACTTGAAATCCGATTAGAAATGGAAGCAGCAACATCTAGAACCAGCCATTGAGATGGAGCAGCTCCCTGCCACCCCGTGCCTGGGTGAGCATCCCTCTTTGCTCTGAGCATGGCTGCTCTCCTGCCCCACCGTGCTGGGGGCTGCACAGGGACAGGGAGCCCTGGCTGTGCCTGCTGTCCCTGGGCCCCACCACGGGAGCTTGGATTCCTGGCATCTCCACACACCTGTGGCTTGGGAAACCGCAGACACATGGATGGGTGCCTCTGTTTGCCATGTGCCGTAGCTCCCCCTCCCCTCTCCGCAGGTATTTGGGCGACGGGCGCTTCCACCTGGAGTCCATCATGATTGCCAACCCGGGGATACCTGCATACAGGTATGGACACCCACTCCAGTCCCCCCAGGGGTGTGAATGGGTGGGGAGCATCCCAACTGCCCCAGCACACCGGGGACCAGCTGTCCCCACCCTGCATGCCAGGAGCACCCCCTACCCCATGGCTGGGCAGGCAGCTGCCTGCAGCAGGCACAGGCAGGTGAGAGGCCGCGGGGGGTGGGTGAGGAGGTGCAGCGGGGAGATGAACACGAGCCATTTACTCTGCCTGAATATAAACATTTTGACAAGTACCTGTGAAAGCTCGTGGAGGTGCAGCCATTAAGGCCCGGCTGCTGCAGGCAGAGGCCATAAAGCGCGATGATGAGGCGGCTGAAAGCAGATGAAATATCAGGAGTGAAAGGCTGGGCCCATTTGGCGGAATCTGAATTTCCTAGTAGGTCGTTTGTTACAAACGGGAGGCGCACGTCAGGTTTATGGCGCTGGTGAAGCTGCCGAAACCCGAGTGGGATTTGATTAAAATTCTCCTCGTCAAACAAAGCAACAAATCAAAGATTTCTTCATAATTGATGAGCTGGGTTGAGGGGGGAGCTGAGCACGAAGCCGAGCGCAGAGCCCAGGCTGTGCTGGGTGTTGGGGTGCTGTGGTGGGACACTTGTCCCTGTCCTTGTCCCCTAATGAGCTGGTCCTACATCAGCCAGGAGGACAGATGCTGTAGGAGGCAATTAGCGCTAATGAGAGACGGGCATCATTTGGGGCCAGTGTGGAGGGGGGGCAGGTGATGGGGCGCGTGTGAGCCTGGCTGTGCTTTGCAGGTATGACCCCTACAGCAAGGTGTTCTCCCAGGAGCACTACAGCCACGAGCGCATGCACCGCGCTCGGCAGGACGCCATCCGCACTGCCACGACTGCCCGCTGCTGGGGGCTCATCCTGGGCACACTGGGGCGTCAGGGCTCCCCCAAAATCCTGCAGGTACCAGCCCCCTCCTCCCCATGGCCTCTGCTGGGCCACCGGGTGCTGCTGCTGGGTGGGGGTAAGGACTGGTGAGCAATGGCATCACTGGCCACTGGCCCCCAAGCTAAGCGAGCAGGGCAATTAGCAGCAGATGAGGGAGGCCGGACAAGGGCTCATTAAACCTGCCCCTTGCTGGGGAGAGCTGGCCAGTCTTGGAGACCATCCCCTCCCGCTCAGACAGTTGGCAATTAATTCCCTGGGTTTGTTTTAATTGGATGAACTTCTGATCAGGTTCACCATCCCTGCTCAGCTGCTGTGCTGGTGCTTTCTGCACCCCAGCTGGGTGAGGGGAACAGGACAACAGTATCCTGCTCCATGGGCGTGGGGTGCCCTGCTCACACCTAGAAATTTTGGGGTAGCTGCAGGTGAGATTTGGGGTAATGAAGGGACCGGTGGGCAGAGCAGGGCATCACGGTCCTGCAGCTGCTGTTCTGTGGGGGCAGGACATGGTCATGGCCAGGGCTGGCTGGGCAGGGGACATTGAGTGGCAGCTCCAATGGACAAGGACATCCCTGACCCCTTTCCTCCTCCTGCAGGCTCTGGCCACAGCCAGCCCACGGCAGGCGGGTGTCCCAGGGCAGGCAGCCGCTAACGAGAACAGATTGTTGTCATTGAGCAGTAATTACTTCATTAGGCTGAGGCACGTGCTGGGGAGAGCTGGAGCCACGGCCGCAGTCCCTGACACTGCGCCTGGCCTGCGACTGCCAAGGGGACACGGCCGTGGGGCAGAGCTGGGACCCACAAAGGGTCTGATGGACAGGAAGGGACAGTGGGCAGGGCTTGGGGGGCTTGATGGGGGTCCCTAATCCCCCCGGGTGCCTTTTCCCCCTGCAGAACCTGGAGTCACGTCTCCGTGCCCTGGGCCGGCCCTACGTGCGGGTGCTGCTGTCTGAGATCTTCCCCAGCAAGTTGCAGCTCTTCCCAGATGTGGATGCGTGAGTGCTGCTGACCCCTCCTCCAGCCTTCTACATGGGGTCCCCAGGGTGCCCCATCCCTGTCCAGGCCTCTGAGTCCTGCGTGAAGCCATCCCTGCCACATCTGTCCTGCTGTCACCTGGGTTAGCACTGTGCATCCCTGCACAAGCTGTGCCCATGGGGCAGGGAGGGGGCATGGCTGTCCTTACCAGGGTGGCTCTGGCACAGCACAGACTTTCTGGGGTGCCGCTGATGGGCTTCACTGTGGCTTGTTCTTCCCAAAATGCTCATCCCCATTGTTGTCACCTGTGTCCCTTCCAGGTGGGTGCAGGTAGCCTGTCCCCGGCTCTCCATTGACTGGGGAGAAGCCTTCAGCAAGCCCCTGCTGACACCCTACGAGGTGAGCACCCTGCTCTTGTTTTTTTGGGGGGGAGTCCTGGCTTGGGGCAGGCTTGGGGATGTCCCTGCAGCCAGGCAGCATCCCCTCCTGTCTCCATATGTGCTCCTTGCACAGTCCAGGCAGGCTGCTGGGATATCCAGTCTCTTGTGAAACCAGTGGATTCCCTGTGCCTCGAGCTTTGCTCCAGCAATGCCCTGCCACTGTGCTGGGACCAAGCCACTGTGCTGGGACCTCTCCCAGCACTGCCAGCCTCCCCATCACAGTCACGGCTCCCTGTCCCCTCCACAGGCTGCGGTGGCCCTCCGGGACATCGAGTGGCAGCAGCCTTATCCCATGGACTTCTACGCCAGCCAGTCCCTGGGGCCGTGGACGGCGAACCACGGCGGCACACAGTCCCCGCGCCGCGGGCGGCCGGCACAGGTGGGCGGCGGGGGGGGTCACCGGGGCAGCGGGTCCCTTCTCTCTCGGTGTCGGGGACGGGCGGGGGGAGCAGCGCCCGGTGCAGTTTGGTGGCCGGTGCCGCGTGCCAAAAGCGCCACCGCGTGGCTTCGTTCCCGGCGAACAGGAACGGGGCCGTTGCCAGCCTGGCTTGCGGAGGCTACCAGAGCCCCCCTCCCAGTATTTTCCGGACTGAGCACCCGCCTGGCCCCATGGCTCCCAGGGGTGGGGGTCCGATTCCCCCAAAGTACCCCGCGGGATGCTGTGGGCTGAGCACGGGCTGGCTCATCGCAGGTCAGGCAGGGAATGGGACATCCTTAACCTTCCCTTAACCCCCTTTTCATTACAGGGGAAGCCACCCGCGCCCCCCGCCCCGCCGGAGGGTGGGGGGAATCCAAGCACCGGGGACCCCGCAGCCTCGTGAGGGCAGCCTGCACCCGGTCCTGCAGCCGCCGCGCTCCGGGACCCGGCGTGGGCAGGGCCGGGGGGGCGCAGGGGGTTCCTCCCGCCAGGTAAGCACCACCGGGGCACTCCCCCGGTACCTGCGCTGGAATGGATGCGGACGCACCCCGTAACTCGACGACACCGCTGCCCGCAGGGACCGCCCCGGTTGCCCACGGGGAGTGACCCCCTGCAAGGCCAGGCCGTGCTGCAGCCCCGGTGGCACCGGGGGTCCCGTCCCGTCCCGTCCCGTCCCGACACATCGGGACCGCCCCGTCTTCCCCCCACCCCTGCGGCCTCCCGCCGCCAGGGGGCGCGCTGCCGCCTCCGCGGCGCCGCTCCGCCCTCTCCCCTCCCCCGGCCAATCAACGCGCGGCGTTTCGGCGGGAAGGCGGAAGCGGCGCTCGCAGTGGCCGCGGCCATGGCGGCGGAGGCGCGGCCGCTGCGGCTGTTGGCGCTGCACGGGTACCGGCAGAGCGCCCGCCGCCTCCGCCAGCGCACCGGTGCGCTCCGCAAGGCACTGCGCGGCCGCGCAGAGCTGCTTCCCATCGACGCTCCGCACCCCGTGTCCTCCGCCGCCGCCCAGGACGACCCTGACGGGGACGACCCGCCCCGCGGCTGGTGGTTCTCGGGGCCCGGCACGTTCGAGGCGGGCGAGGCGGCGGCGGCGCCGGAGGGGCTGGAGGAGTCTCTGTCGGCCGTGGCGGCGGCGCTGGCGGAGCAGGGACCGTTCGACGGGCTGCTGGGGTTCAGCCAGGGCGCGGCGCTGGCCGCCATGGTGTGCGCGCTGCGGGCCCGCGGCGACCCGCGCTTCCCCGTGGCCTTCGCCGTGCTGGTGGCCGGGTTCGCCAGCCGCGCCCCGGCGCACGGGCACTTCTACCGCGACCCCATCGCCCTGCCCACGCTGCACGTCGTGGGGGACACGGACGCCGTGATCGCGGCCCCGCTCAGCATGGAGCTGGCCCGATGCTTCGTGGAACCGGTGGTGCTCACCCACCCTGGTGGACACTTCATCCCCGCGGCTGCGGCGCAGAAGAAAGCCTACCTGGAATTCTTGGAACGCTTCCGACCCGGGCAGGGGCAGGCCAAGCCCTCAGGCATTGGGGAGGTTTCAGAACGGTCTGTGTAATAAAGGGGGCTCTGGTGAGCCATGTGTAGACACCCACGACTGTTTCAGTGCCCCCAGAGTCATCAGCACTCCCTACACCACTGTGCTCTGCAGTGTTCACCCAGGACCCAGCTAAATGGTTCTTTATCTCCCTTTTTATTTCAGCTTTGTTGTATACATGAGGATATAATATATAAATAACATGTAGTCATATATGTATATAAAATTATATACATATATATGTATATGACATTGTATGAGATGTAGTGTGACTCTGGGGGGATTGAGGGCAGGAGGGTGACACTGCTCTGTGTGTGAAGTGCTTCCAGAGACTCGAATAGCTGCTCAAAATCAGGGTCCCTCAGCTCAGCCACATGAAGTGTCTGTAGGTCACAGAGCTCCTGTAGCTGTTACCCCCAAAGATTCCTGGGTTTTAATATCTATTAAGCCAAGCCTCCAGCTGGTCTGGATCTGGAAAACCTTCTCACCCCTGGCTGGTGTTTGTTTTGAGAGTGAAGTGTCTGCTGGTTCAGTACATGTGTTGAATCTTCCCTGTACAAAGTGCCTCCATGGACGAGAAAAATTTGTCACTCTGTTTCTGGCTTTGATAATATTTTCCAGAAGCACATGGGAACCTTTATTGCTGTTACAGGTGAAGGTGCCCTGCTTGGCTGCTGCCCAGTACAGTGCTGGGGCAGGCTGGGCACCAGGGTCAAGCCAGGGCCGTGCTTCAAGGTTTTCTCTAACCACAGCTTTCCTTAGGGGTTTTTGGTTGGCAAAAGAGAGAAATCAGGTGTAAATTCTTCATTTTCCCCCTGCCTGAGCGGCAGGGCAGTGCAGTGTCATCCGTGCAAGGGCCAGAGGACAAGAGGAACAGGCAGAGGGGCAAGGGCTGAAGCCCTTCCCATGTTCCCTCAGCTGGGAACAGGCCTGGGAGCTGCCACAGGTTAAACCAACGCAGCAGAAATTAGTAGTTCTCAGCCCTGGGAGGTTTTTACCTTCTGGTTTGTTGCTGGTTACTCAGCAACACAATGGTGGTGGTGTCAGGAGGATGAGGCAGTTTCTCTGCAGCCCAGCCCCAGGCTGGTGTCCTGGGGGTGTTGTGGGGGGAGTTTGGGCAGTGGTGGCCAGCTTGGCCACTTCAGCTGGGCTGTATCACAGCTCGTTTTAAGGTGTGGGGTGTCTGCACTCCTTGGTGACCACATCGGAGAGGCTGTTTTGGGGGGAGGGCTGCAGCAGCAGCAGCTCCGGCCGAACACAGCGACAACTGCGACAAAGCACTGGCGCTTTTGTCTCTCTGCTCTGCCCCCTCAGCCCTGAGCAGCCGTGGAGGGACGGCAGCAGCCGCGCTCGCCAAGCCCACCGGTAGCTCTTTAATTACCGCCGAGCTCCGGCCCCGCGGAGGCGGCGGAGGCACCGCAGCCATGGCCGCCCGCCCGCACTGCGGCCCCGCACCGCCGACCCCCGGCAGCTCCCGGGCACAGGGAGGAACTTGGCAGCTCGCTGGCGGCGGGATGGGGAAGGAGCTCGTGGTGCGGTGAGTGAGCAGCGCGGTGCCGGCTCTGCGGGCGGCTCCCTCGGGTGGGCTGGGGAGGGAGGGGTGACCCGAGCTGGGGTGCTGCAGTACCTGCCTCTCTCTTCCCAGGGTCTGCTTAAAGATGGCTTCTGCCGGTTGGCTCCTGTACCGGGTTAAAATAAACTAATAAAAAGAGAGAAACGCGACCCTCGTCCGCGAGAGGTGCCTGTGTGAGCAGCGGAGGGAGGTCCTGCTGGGCCCTGGTGTGATGGGAGGAGGGAAGCGGCTCCCGCGGCTGTCACTGCGTGTCCCTGCCGGTCGGAGGGGTTTGCCCTGGGAATCCTTCCCTCTCCCTTCTTTTCTACTGGCGAGATGCCCTCGGGCTGGCCTCTGCCTCTCTTGCAGATCCAAGTCTGTCCTTGGGATGCAGCCACACCGCTCAGCTGCCTGGAGACAAGACTGACTGATGCCCACCCATCCCTCATTCACTTTGCTGTTGGAGGGGTTTCCTCTTCTCCCACCCGCCCAGGGGAGTCGGTTTTTCCCCCAGAACAGTCTGGAGCAGTTGCTGTTGCTGCATGAGGGGGTAACGGAGCGAGCCCAGGCTCTGGGTGGCAGCCATGCCACTGGCTTGGGACAAGGGGGCCCTGGGGATAGCCACTGGTGTTACCCAGCAGCACCGTGAGCCTGGATGTTTTGGCAGAGGGAGTGTCATCCCTCTTCTCCCTAGGTGGCCCTTTCCATACCCCAACACAGCCATCAGAATCACCTGGGTGACCCCAGGGATAGGCCCTGCCTATGGCCCTGCTTGTGAGGAGCGTGCAGTGGCCACGGGGGCTGGGGCTGGGCAGGGAAGGGCTTTGCTCCTCCCTCCCAGGTGAGCAGAGCCCCCAGCCCTCTCCCAGCATCCCAGGGAGGGTGGGAGAAGACCAGCACAAGCAGAGACTCTGCCAGCACTGCTGCCTCCCCACAAACTCCCACCACCTCTTCCCTGGCTCTCCGCACCCCTTCCCCCTGTGTCACCGTCAGCTCGGAGTCTCCTCTGCTGCCCACCCTGCCATCACCCACGTGGGGCACACCAGGCACAGGCAGGGGCTCCTGTGGGCAGCGTTGGAGAAAGAGACGTCCCACCAAGCCTGGCACCGGCTGCGGATCGTGGCAGGGTTTGAGCCTTACTCATCTCACGCTCTTCCTCCCATCTCCACCAGCCGGGCCTGGCGCTGGCGTGGGGAGGGGGCGCTTTGGGAGGGTGATGTGTTTTGCAGACTGTCATATCACGCGGTTTCCCCCAAAGCTGCCTGGCTCCTGCCTGTGAGGAGGCAGCAGCACGGGCAGGGGAGAGCCAGGGGCCAGCCCCAGGCCCTGCTGCCGGAGCAGGACCAAGCCGCTGGGAACAGCCCCCCCTTCCCTGCTTCACCCGCAGAAGCTTCCAGTTGTGGCTGAGTCACTCCTGCTGTAGCTCCTTCTCTCCTTGTTTTGGATGGAAGTTTTCCATGGAAACCCACGCTGGGCCGGGCCGCGGGCTGGGATAAACACGGCTGAATCACAAAAGGCCGTTTTGCCAAGAGCTGTCAGATGGCAACAGCAGTGTGTGCGACCGGTGGGCAGCTGCCCGGCCTTCGGGGGGGCAGCAGCACCTCTCCCTGCACCCCCCACCAGCCACACTGGCTCAGCCCTCCCTCCCCACCCCAGACCACCCCAAATTCCCACGGTGCCAGCATGCTTCTTGGCAAAGCCAGGAGTGGGTCACAGGCTTCAGCCAGAAGTTTTCTGGGACCACGTGCTGTCCTGGGGATGCACAGGGAAATCCCGTCGGGGACAGTACCTTGGGACCCTCGCCACAGCCCAGTCCTCAGCTGTGGGGTTCTGTAGGGTCACGGCTGCTGGAGGTCCCTGAAAGACCCTTCCCACGCTCCTGGCTGTGCACAGGAACACGCGCCGAAGCCACTGGGAGCATTGCTGAGGCAAGGCAGTGTTTGTGCCCTGCCTGTGCCCTGCTGAGCACCATTCCACCGTGGAAGTGGCAAGTAACAACTCAGCCATGGCAGGGGCTGTGATCTTCCTCAGCACCATACTCCTTCCCAGCACCGCTGTGATCTCGGAGGAGCACGAGAGCTGGACGGCCTCTGTCCCTCGGCGCTCACAGCTGGCCCCAGGCCCGGTGGCTTGGAAGCACCATTGGAAGACAAGTCCCGGTGTCAGGAATCCAGGATATTTTTAAGGACTCTGGAAGAAAAACTAACCAGGGTGTCAGCGGGAGAGACTTGGCCTTCAAAACAACAACAGCAAAGCCAGAGCCTTCCCAGGCTGGAGTGTGGGGTCTGAGGGGCCACAGTGCTGCCTGTGAGACATGTCCCCTCCTCCAGGGATACCCTGGAAGACACACAGGTACCACCTCACCGTGACGGAGGACAAACAAGGAAGTGTTTCCCAGGGGGTGCAGGGTGGTTTCCCAGGGGATGGAGGGCAGCACCTTTGCAGCGCGGATGTGCCAAATGCAGCTGCAGCTTTACCTGAGCGCTGATGGCACTGCCCAAAAATCCCCTTCCTGGAGGTGTGAGGTGCATGGCCCATCACCAGCAGCAGTGATGGGAAAAGCAGGAGTCAAAGGGGATAGGCAGGAGATGGGGCAGTGCACAGTGGGTACCTGGTACTTGAGATACTCCCCTGCCCGTGGCTCCCCTGTTGCACCGTGGCTCTCCTGGCCCCAGGGACCTGATGGTGGCTCGTGCCCATCTGGGTGAGGGCAGAGGTGCATGACCCTATGGGTGGGTAAGGGTCCTAATGGTGCTTCTCTGGAGAGAAGGAGTGTGGGCAGAGGACCCTGTGTGGCCCCTATGCGGTTTAGGTGGGACACCCATGGGAGCTCCATGCTGAAGCTGCACCCCAGGTCCAGAGGTTCAGGTTTGGGGGCTCTCCCTGTCCTCTTGGCGCTGCCATTGTTACCCCCCCGTGCCTGACCCCCCCCTCCCCGGTGTCCCCACGGGATTAGGCATCCGACTTCTCTTCCGGGGTCTCTGTAGTCACTACGTCCCTTCCAGCCCCCTCTGTCCCCATCTCCGAGGCTGTAGGTCCGCGGTGCCCCCCGAGAGGGGCCCTGCCCGGCCGGCACCGGTCGCCGCCGGCTGCTGAGGGCCCGGTGCCCGGTGTCGGGGCAGGCCGGGCCGCTCTGACTTCGCCGCTCAGGAATCTCCTGGCCGCGACGGGCGGGTTGTGCAACCTGCGACCGCCCCCGGCCTCCCCCGCCCCGGCCCCGCGGGCCGCGCTCAGTCCGCGCCGCGCCGGCCCCGCCGCGCTCCGCGAACGTCCCGTGCTCCTCCCGCACACCGGCGGCGGGACAGGGGGGCACGGGAGGGTGGGACGGGACCGCGGCTGCCGAGCGCACAGATGCGGCGGGATAAGCCCGGCGGGGGCGGCCCCGCCGGGAGGGCAGGTGAGGGGTTGCGGGGCAGGGGGCAGGATGGGGGGATCAGAGGGGGGGTCCCCACCGTTCCCACTGCCCGAGGAGGAGCCGTTCGGCGCCCGCCCCCCCGAACAGTAAGAGTTGATGTGCGGCGAGCTGCATCCTGCATGTGAGCTCCTACTGCCCCGGGAGGCGGGCCGCCCCCGACGGGACCCCCGCCGCCCCGCCTCCGCCGCCTCGGGGACCCCCGGGGGTGGGGCCGGGGGGGGAGCCGGTGCTGCCCGCGCTGCGAGTCCGCCTGTCCCGGCGACCATGGCTGTAGACTGTTACCCCCCCAGCGGCACAGTAACAATCTAAAGCCACGGTCGCCCGGGCGGCGTCGGAGGGGGGGGTACCGAGAGGGGTTGGGGGGCAGCCGGTGCCTTGGCGACGGCGAGGAGGCGGCTCCGCCACCGCACCGGTGGCGCGGGGCGGGGGGACCTGGTGCTCGGGGGGTGGAATGTCGCTAGCATCGGCAGCATCGGTAGCATCCACCCACGCCCCTCCCCGCCCCCTGCCCTCCCACACGTGTCCACCCCGCCGGGGAGTCCCCCCCTACCTGGGCTGCAGCGGGAAGGCGGGGGGGCGTCCGCCGTGGGGGGGTCGGTGTCTGCGGGGGGGAAGAGAGAGCGCGGTCAGGCGGGCACCGGGACAGCCCCCCATCCTCGCCCCTTCCCGCCTTCCACCCCCCCACCGTCGGGGCGCACTCCCCGACGGCTCAGCACCACGGACAGCGCCCGTCCCCCCAGCGCTGCGGCGGGGCCGGGGCCGGTGCGGGGCCGGTGCCGGTGCCGGCGGTGGGTCATGCTTCAGTAGCCATGACTGTAGACTGTTACTGTCCTGTCCCTACGCAGCAGTAAGCAGTCTAGAGCCAAGGTGCCGACGCGCTGACTCGGGCTCTCCTCGACGGGATCTCCGCGCTCTTTCGACGCACCGGGGTGAAGGCGATCGACCCCCCCGGGCTGCGGAGCTGGCAGCACTCGAGCGGGGGGGACCGGGGTGCGAGGGAACCCGAGGGAGGTGGTGGTACAGGGCGCTGGGCACGGCGGGACAGGGCTGGGGGGGTCCCATCAGCGATGGATGCGGAAAGGGGGGACAGCAGGGACCGGTGTCACCGCAGAGCGGGACACACACACACATCACACAGGGATGCGCTTCCCTACCTCTCCCCGCCTCCCCAGCCCCCGCAAGGCGCAGGCTGTCGGTCCCCGCCGTGCACCCCCCCGGGGCGGCCCCGCACTCAGCGCCCGCCCCCGCGCACCGCCCCCGCCGGCGCCGCGCCCGGCCCCGCCGCCCCCGCCGCCCCCCGCCCCCGGCCCGCACGTGGGGCTGCGCCAGGCGGCACCGCGCGGCCCCCGCCCGCCGCAGAACTGCCCCCCCGCACCGGTGTCCCGGTGCCCCCCTGCTCCGCCCCCCCCCCCCCGGGGGCGGGCAGGTGCAGCACCCGGTGCCGCGGGGCTCCGCTGCCCCCTCCCGGCCCCGCACCGGGCTCCGTCCCCGCTTACCTGGGGGCCAGCCCAGCCGGTGCCTTACCTCCTGCGGGCCCCCGCGGCTGCCGGGCCGGGCAGGGGCCCCGCGGCTCCCGGCGGGGCCGGCGCCGGTGTCGGTGCTGCGCTGTCCGCAGCGCGCGGGGCTTTTATAGGATCGGGCTCGTAGTAACGGGGATCTCGGCTCATTCATAGAAAAGCATCAACCTACACAATGACGTGAGCGCTACGTCAGCGAGGAAATTTAGGGAACGGGAAGACGCTACTATTTATATCGGCGCGGGGGGAGGACAGCGGCCCGGAGCCGGGCAGGGGGTCTGGGATGCAACGGGACCCCGTCCCCGTCCCCCCCCCGGCTCCCCCGCGCCCCCCCGCCTCCGGTGCCCCATCCTCGAGATGCACAGTGCAGCAGCACCAAGCACCCCACATCCCTCCTCCATCTGCCGCCAGACCCAGGGGCCGTGCACCCACTGAGACACAAGCAGAGGGTCCCTGAGGGTCCCTGAGGGCTGCGGCATGGGCCACCCCCTGCTCCCATCCCGAGGTGTCCATCCAGGCACCCGCAGGAGTCCAAGGCACCCCTTTGCCCCAAGACCACTCCACTGGTCCAGAGTGTGGCCCCATCCTAACCTCGTGGCGACACCACGGGGCTAGTGGTTTGGGGCTGTCTGAGCCCCCCATCGTGGGAAGGGTTTGCACAGGGGTCCCCGTACCTGGGTACCAGCCTGGGAGTGCCCCCTGTCCACCTGCACCCCCCACCTACAGCAATGTCCTGAGCAGTACCTTCCACATGACCCCCCATAAGAACCTCTGTCCTTCCAGTCTCATAAGCACCCATGGGTGCCAGTCCAGTGTCCTGCAGGAGGATGGGACAGCAAAAAGTGATGGCAATGGGTGAGTTTAGAATACATGGGGGGACACCCCATTGCAGTACCTTGCTGCCCTTACCCCTCGCTCCTGGCAGGTGCTCCCACCAAGGCTGCATCCCCCAAAAGCCATCGGTGCCACAGAGACAGGTTGTGGCTTCGTGGTTGAATTAATTTGGCCTCCCCCCGCCCCATCTCAAGTGTCAGCACCCCCCCGAGATGGGCCTAGAGTTGTATCCAGGGGCATGTGGGGAGGGATCCTTTCCCCCCCCCATGCATCCGTCCGTCCCGTCCATCCATCCATGCATCCCCCCCATTCCTGCTGGAGCCGTCTGACCTCACTCTGCTCTGGCGAAGCATCACACCGGTCGCCACAGCAACAGCGGCGTTGTCATTGACAGCAGCATCCGCGCCCGCCAGCATCCGCCGCTGCGCAAGGCCGCACGCTGCTGCAAGGCCACACGCTGCTACGGGGGGCTCAAGCCACAACCCCCCCCGACACCCCCCTTATTGCTCACTTACACCCCCAAGTACCTGCAGAGAGCTTTAGGCAATTAACACCCCCAACCCCACCAGCATCTCCCCATCCTCCTCCTGCCACCCCGTTTAAGTTGCTGCCACCCCCTAGAACCCCCCAAAAAACACCTTACCCCCCCGGGCTAGATAGGGGTGTCCCACTCCTCTCCCCTTTTTTTTTTTTTTTCCCACGCAGCACCGGCGCCCGCCCCGTCGGGGCTCTCCGGTTCGGGTAGGGGAGGGGGGGAATCGCTGCCGCAGCGCTCCCCGCCGCAACCGTGACTCAGCCCCGGGATTAGTCAGCAACCGGGGCCGGCCCACCAGCAACCGGCTGCGCAGCTCCGCCGCTCCTCCGGGGGCCGCGACCCCCTCCACTCCCCGTCCCGGTACCTCGACGCGCACAAGGTCGTGCCGGGGGATCGGGACGGGGAGCTGGGGGGGTCGCGGCCCCCGGGAAGGAGTGTGGGGGGGTGTCGCATCCCAGAGCGTGGCCCGTTGCTGCCATCTCGTGGGCTTCCCACTAGTGGCTACAGCCACGTCCCCGTGGCGGGGGAGGGGGTATGGAGGGGGCTCGGTGTTGTGGGTGGGGAGGGGAGGTCAACTATGGGGCTTGGAAAGGTGGTGGGTGGGAAGATGGTGGTCACTGAGGGGGATTGAAGGAGGAAAGTGTGTTATCACCTTACGAAGCATCACCTGATAGGGAAGGGGTCCCATCGTGCCTCATCGCTCCATAGAACAGGGGGTCTTCACTTGCCTGAGCATCACCCCCCAAAGAAGGGGTCTTACTTCAAAGGAAAGGGGTCTCATCACCTCTGCCCCCAAATATCATCTCCCTGGAAGTGTTCCTCACTCTGACGAGCATCGTCCCACGAGGAAGTGGCCCCACTGCCCCCTGATGCATCACCTCAAAGGCAAGGTGTCCCATCACCCCATCAAGCATCACCCCACAAGGAAGGGGTCCCACTGCCCCACAAAACATCACATTGCGGGGGTGGGTCCCCTTGTTTAACTGAGAATTGCCCCACAATTAAGGGGTCCCATTGCCCCGTGAAGCATCATCCCACAGAGAAGGGAATCATCTGTTCCCCCAAATATCACCCCACTGGAAGTGTCTCTCACCCAACCCGAGCATTACCCCACAAGGAAGGGGTCCTGCTGCCCCATGAAGCATCACCCATAAGGGAAAGGGTCCCATGGTTTCACCAAGCATCACTTCACAGGGATGGGATCCTCACCTGCCTGCAGAGAAGGGTTTCCACCACCCCATCAGGCATCACCCCACAAGGAAGGGATCCCATTGCTCCACAAATCACCTTTCAGGGATGAGTGCTCGTCTCCCCAAACATGTCCCCATAAGGGGTCCCACTGCCCCTCTCCAGCTGTCAGGGACCTCACAAAGTTCAACAAGGGGGATTGCAAAGCCCTGCTCCTGGGGAAGAAAGAGCCCTGGGCTCTGGGATATCCAGGGGTTTGCCTGGCTGGACAGCAGCTTGGTGGAAAAGCCCCTGAGGATCCTGGGGGTCACCAAGTTGACCACGTGTCCTTGTGAGGAAGGAGGTGAATGGTGTCCTGGTCTGTGTTAGGAGGCGCATTAACAGCAGGGAGAAGATCCTTCTCCTCTGCTCAGTGCTGGGGAGGCCACTCCTGGAGTGCTGGGTCCAGTGCTGGGCTCCCCAGTATGAGAGAGATGTGGGCATACTGGAGAGAGTCCAGTGAAGGACTGCTAAGAAAGATTAAAGGACTGGAGCATCTCCCCAATGCTGAGAGGTAGAGAGTGGGGACTGCCTGGAGAAAAGAAGGCTCTCGGGACCTGATCAGTGTATACACATCCCCGGAGGAAGGGTGTGGAAAGGACAGAGGCAGGCTCAGTTCCGTGGTGCCCAGTGCCAGGAGCAGGGGCAATGGGCACAGACTGAGTCACGTGGCTTCCTCTGGCCATCAGGGGACATTTTTCCACTGTGAGGGGAGTGCTGGCACGGGCTGCTCAGGGAGGTACTGGAGTCACTGTTCTTTGAGATATCCAAAAGCCATCTGGGCACAGTCCTGGGCAATCAAGTCCTGGGTGGCCCTTGAGCAGAGGGTCAGATGACCTCCTGGGGCCCCTCCGAACTTCAACCCCTGTTTGATTCTGTCTCTTGTGCACTCCCAACACCCCTCCACAAGGAAGGGTCCCTCTATCCCCGTGAAATATCTCCTTGCAGGGATGGGTGCCCTTGTCTGACCAAGTATCACCCTGCAAGAAAGGGTCCCCTGAGCACCACCCCATAAGGAAGGGGTCCCATTGCCCCATTCAAGCACTGCTACACAGAAGAGGGCTCCCCACCCACCTGAACATCACCCCAAAGGGAAGGGGTCCCCTTGACCACCCCAGCATTGCCACCCAGTTTATGCAGCAGAGAACAGCCACCTCCAGCCTGGCCACCCTGACTGAAGGGGGAGACTGTGGTGTGCTTGGGGAGGCTCTGCCTTTCCTGCCACCTCGCAGATGTCCTCTCATGTTGGGAGGCACTGGGCACCCTGGGAGCATCTGGAAGTGTCCTGTGGCTACCCCCAACCTTGTTTCACAGCAGGCAGGGCTCCATGCAGACTCCCCCACAGCCTTGCCTAACTCTGGGAGCAGCACTGGAGGTGGGCAGCACCGATCCACTCTCAGCCCGGAGCAGCTCA